TGTTGAATTACTGTCAGTTATATTCTAAGGCGTCTATTTTATATACGTAAAGCAGGTATGGGTCGATGCAAGAGACAAACATCAGATCGAGGTTCGCGCTTTGGGGCAGTTTGGTGGGAGGGGGGGGGGGGACACGTGGTGCTAAAATTATCGGCACTAGTTGAGCGATGTGTTTAAGACCGCGGGTCAGTTTTACTTCCCAGTAGTTTAAAAACAAAAACGGACGGGTGGGGGCTGGAAGGATGGGCGGAGGGACAGACAGAAAGACAGACAGAAGGACCGTCCTAGATAGAGAAAGACAGACTTATGGATAGATGGACGGACGGACAGATGGATGGTCAGACGGACCGACGGACGGACGTATGACGGATGAATGGATGGATGGATAGATGGATGAAAATAACTCGTTTACTGTCAGGGGCGCGGTCACCTTTTTGTTGACTCTTCACACACGCAACTTTAATCCAGGTGACAGAAAATCTGTGCTTCCGAGCTACGCTCATTGCACAGTTGCATGCAGTATTACATTCGATATTTCTCTGTGGCTACAGTGTATATTAGGCAGCAGAATCAATTCATAGCACATAATAGTTCTCGCAAGGCTTCGACTAAGTATGAAGCTTCTATTATCAGAATACTAAAGCCTGTTTTTTCTTTAACCAACCAACTAAGCTATCGACTTGTCACTTTGCTAAGCAGCTGAGTCTCAAGTAAAGACAAACTTCCAGCTTCAAAAGATCACCTGTCAACAGCACTACTCCCAAGTAGTTAACATGGTTTACTTTGAACGTATATTTTTGTTTCTATGCTATCTGAGAATATGTGTATGCATTTTTCAACAGAATCGTGACTGGGGACGAGACAAGAGCTCACTTGGTGAAATCAGAGGTTAAGGTTAGTTGCGTATCCCTTACAGAACTTTGCAGAACCAACCCTAACAGCCCCTGGCTGTTGTGTGGTTTTTCTAGGCAAATTTACGTCCAGTAGTTTGTCATTGCCTCTGGACGGTCGGCTTTCATGATCCCACTGTCAAAACCAACGCAAGGTGCGTGGTCCGCACCTGGGATCAAACCCGGCATTACAAAGCGTTCGCATCGACTTAGCCACAGAGCCGACAAATGCAAAGACAACGGAAAAATAAAAATTGCGGAGGTTTGCTTATTCTCCAGGCAAACCACACAAATTCAAGCAAACATTTTCGCTACGAAAAACAAATCATGCCATGAATTACACAGCTGGTGGAAAAAGCAGTAACAATGTTCACGTTTATTCGTTTGCGATTCATGAACCACTGTACTGTGGTTAATGTGAATGAGCTAAACTAAAAGACTACTGAATGATGCAAGCAATGAGCGATGTCGCTGTGTAACAAAGTTTATTTATACCAGCTAATCGGAGGTTAATTTTTGAATGGGCCCCTTAGAAAGCAAATTATATCTGCTAAGGCAAATCTTATAAGAACTATTGTTCACCGAAATTATGATAACTTTGTCAATAGGAATAAACTCACAGGGAGCAAGTACAGCAGGGATCTACCAGTCGTCAGTAGAAATTATCCTCGTCAACGAGCGTTTCGGCCCACGATTCCTAGACGCTTTCGGAGGTGGGCCCACCTGAGTTCATGAAGCTCAGGGCTGGTTCCCTGCTGCACGAAATTACCGGATGGTGTTTTTCTTTCGGATAGAGACAAGACGACTTGGTGATTTGCAGAAGGTACTGTGAGATAAGAAGTCGTTGCGGCAGCCTAATTAGAACAGTCAGCGTGCCTGGACGACCGAGCGACAAGCTTACGATTGGTTTACCGGACACATGTTGGACTTTATTAGCAGGTGGCAGAGGAACACTGGCAGACAATTCGGACACGATGGACTTTAAAAGGGTGAGAAACCCTTTTTCACTAGAGACCAGGACCAGCTCACAGAGGCCCGTCCCCTACGTTGTTGCGTTGCGTCCAAAGCCAGCTCGAGGCCCTTTCGGCTGCCTCGCCCAGTTTTTTTAAGTGTTCGTTTCCGTTCATTACCGCGCAATCCTAGTTCTTTAACCACATTATAGAGCGAAGTGGAAACGAGGCCTCTCGCTCCCACTTCGACGGCAAAGACCCGTAATGTGTACGCCTCGTTTCTCCTCAGACCGGCTGCTAAATCACTGTATTTCTCGAGCTTATACATGTGATTCTCTTCCATACGCGACCCAAACGGGACGGTCAACTCAATCAGGATGAGCTGCCGTTTTTGCGCAGAGTGGAGAACTATATCAGGTCGCAGGCCGGTCTTTCGGATCAACTTGGTGTACCTTTCATGGCCCGGCAGATCAACCGCCATAACCAGTCCCTCGCAGAGTCTAGCACAGATGGAGCGAATGCGTTTTGGTTGACCTTACCTTTTTGAACCTGCCCAGCCTTGAGGAAACGAATGGGGACGATGCTAGAACTGGCCCTTGCGTTGGCCCTTATTCTAGCCTGGTCAACAACGGCTGCTAACTCTTTTAGCACATTGTTGTGTCGCCAGGTGTATCGGCCTTGACCTAGGGCTTTCCTGCACGCGGACAGGACGTTCTCAAGAGTTTGCTTCGCTTTGCACAACGGGCAAGTCGGATCGTTAGTCGCAGACCATTTAACCATATTAACACCGGACGGTAATACATCGTACGCCGAACGAACGATAAAGCTCAGTCGCAGCGGGGTCATTCGCCAGATCTCACCCCATGTGAGTACTCTTGGCAATGCGCTCTCCAGGCTGACCCAATGGCCCTGCTGAGCCTGCTGGGCTGCTTTCTGGACCTGAACCTCTTTTTCGTTGTCCCTCACCGTTTGTATTACCATGTCTCGGCGCTCTTTGGCTGAGGCCTTTGACCACCAATTGACCTTCTCGTGCCCTAGGCCTCGACGGTCGGTTTGAGTGTATCCCATTACCTCCTTCAATTTTAGTGCGTTCTGTGCAGATTCAATCGCATCGAGGACCCTCCACTTCTGGCCAGTCTTTAGAGCGGGCTGGACAGCGATGACATTTGGGTCTGAAGACTCGCGCAAGAGCATGGCGAGTCTTACCTTGCCGACTTTAAACTCTTCGGTTATTGATTTGAACGAAAGTACCAGCTTAGCCTGCTTGCAATACAAAGCCACGTCGGTCAGACAAGGCGGTGCACCAATCCACTTTCTCAAGGCTGTGTTGATCTTTCTCTTCATGGTTTCCACTGCAGTCATCGTCACCTCGTAGACTAACAGTGGCCATAGGAGTTTCGGAATCAACATGAATTGGAGACACCATCCCTTGAATTTCCCGACCAGCCTGCCAGTGACTCGTGTATTCGCCGGACCTCGGCTCTATCAGATAACTTCGAATCGTAAACGCGACCAAGGCTCTTCACCGGTTCCTCCAGAACCGTGGGGATCTTGTTCCTTGCCACCGTAAAACTGGTTGCCATCACCCGACCCTTAAGGATAGACAGACTCCTCGACTTCTGCGGTTTGAACTGCATACCGCTCCATTGGACCACCGCGTCCAATCTTTCCAGGATCGTGCTGGCAGACTCCTCGCTGCCCGTTATAATAGTCGTGTCATCCATAAAGGCACGTAATGGCGGCATTCAGTGATCCCCTATTTGAAGGCCCAGTCCGTAGCCGGCCGCCCCGTCTAACATGATCTGCATTGCCATGACAAACAGTATGGGTGAGATCGTACAGCCCATAGCTATCCCAATCTGCAACTCAGTCCACCTCGTGGTAAAAGTCGAGGTAGAGAAGCGCAAAGCGAACTTAGAAAAATTTTGCTCGATCATTTGATTTATCTGTGCCGGTACGTGAAACATGCGAAAGGCTCGCCACAGTAGCCTATGGGGGACTGCCCCGTAGGCGTTGGCTAAGTCCAACCATATTACGTGCAATTGTGTTCTCTCATGCTTGGCTCTCTGGATAGCCTCCCAAATCATGGTGGCGTGTTCAGGGCACCTAGGAACGCCTGGAATACCAACCTTCTGAACACTCGTGTCGATGTACTTGTTAGCCATCAGATACTGTGTGAGCCGGCGAGCCATGACCGAGAAGAATATCTTACCCTCGACATTCAACAGCGAGATGGGCCTGAATTGGGAAAGACTCTTCGAGTCCTGCTCTTTGGGAATGTAGACCCCATTTGCCTTTTGCCACTCAGGACATATGTGATTGCGGATCCACGCTTGTCTCAACAAGACGTGAAGCATTTTTAGGATTTTCGGGCAGCGCTTGTAAAAAACGTACGGAACACCGTTCGGACCTGGGGCAGACTTGCCGCTGGCCTTTTTAACAACTTCCTCAACCTCAGACCAAAGGGGAGGTATCATTTTAAATGGTACCTTCGGCACCGAAGGCTGCTTGAGGCCGCTAAGGATCTCTGAATTGTCATCGAGAGGCTCTCTCCTCTTTTGTCAGAGTACATCTTGCGTAGATGTAACTCAAGTTCTTCCTGACTGACAACCAGAGTCCCAGACTTCGGTTGCTCGAATAGACCTCGAGCAAACTGATACGGGTCCCTAAAGAATTTCTCTCGCTCCCTTTTGGTTCTTCGTCTGTTGGCACAGAAACGCTCAGCGCGACAGAGGGCACTGTGTTTGTTCTTTAAATGCAACCAAACTTCGTACAAACTTCGTATACCTAATCTATACAAAACTTTGAACTTAATCGATACTGGACAATAAACTTAATCAAAAATCAATATATAACTTAAGCGACTCTAATTCAACCAAAGCAACATAAACCACTTGGCAGGTAAACTGAAGCATGACCAGCCAGATGTGGCCAATGCTCTTTTGGAGCCACGACGGACTGAAAAAATAATGGTACACGGGGAATTGATCAGGAAAATTGGCTTTGACTCAGAGAAAAGGGTTGTAGTCAGAATGTTCCATGTGTCATCGTAAGGCTGTGCTTGCTGCTGAAGATAGGGATATAGCACTTATGCGAATGTCTCTAATGAGGTCGATTCGTAACTCAGATGAACATAAAACACATAACAATATGAAGACACCGAACACTTACCTGTCGCCATAATAGTTCCGGAAACTGGACGCACGTCTGTGACGACACCAAAATATGGACAAGGGGAATAAATCCTCCACAAATACATTTGGACAAAGTTCGGATCGGCATCAAAGCGTAGACACTGAAGATGACGAACGCCACCACCCACGCTCCATCCGCGGCATTGAGCTTATGGTCTTCAAAGCCCGGTGGTGCTCCCAACGGCAGAGGAACGCTGAAGATGCATAAGATGACCACAAACGAGAGCACCGTATAGTTGACTGCAAGCAAGTGCTTCTCTTTCATCAAATTTGCTTTCACGTATATGAAGAAAATCAAAAATATCAGGCCTTGTGTAAACAAGTACAAGCTGTAGATCGTGTAGTTCCCAACAAAAGACGTAATCAGAATGGCCAGGCTGAAACATAGAATGGTGAAAAGAAGGGACAAGCATACCAATGCCGACTGCTGGATTCTGAAGACATACCGTTGGTATAAATGTTCCACTTCATTGCTGGTGAACTGGTTCCAGCTTAGTAGTCTTTTAATACCTTTGTGCTGTTTTATGCTTGCTGCTTTCAGCATCGGCAATTTTTCTGTTGCAAGGCCATTCATTGTACAGGATCTGAAAAATTAATAAATACAATTTTATCTAATTGTGGATCTCAAGGTTAATATCCACAATTTTATGTGCGTCTAGGGCATATAGGGCTAGACCTATATTTTATAGACCAATCAGCACGAGATGGATGATGTGGCCAGCATCATGCCGGCCGCCTCTATTTCCTGAAACTGCGCCCGGTACCTACTCAAGGCTAGGTCGACCTGGGAACCAAGATCATTTTTGAAGAAAAATCCGGCGAACCCACAACCTTCCGATCCGCGGCGTGTGTGTGTAGCCCACTGACTTAAGTGATTTTTACCTCTTCAAATTTTGCCATCTTCAACATCATATATCATTTCGTGTATGCACACCTTTCCGTTTCATGACAACGACAACAAAACTGTCAAGAATCATTGCCTGTTGTATTCCTCTACACTTTTCTCTACGTATATTTATGTTATGTAAACAAAAAGACCACGTCGTAATTTGAAGTTACCATAAAAATCACATGGCTACTCTTAAATATCCGGTGGAAAGATGTACAGTCTAACTTGATAATATGAATAATGTGTTTCAACGAAAAGCTTTCATTGTTATGCTTCAATGCATGTTGATTTAACGCTGTAGTAATGCAACTGACGAGATACAGAGAAATATGCGAGCAGTAAATTGTGCAGTCTATTGTTTGTGTCCGATTTATTGAAAATTACTAAGGGAAAAAAATTGTGATATTTCTAGTTGTCGCAACCAAACTGTAGTCCTTATATCTCGACCTTTTGGCACTTGGCTAATATCCAATTCAGATAGAACACCACAACGAGCGTACGGGGAGAACACAAACAGAACACGGGGGCTGCGTGGTCTCGAGGCATGGTGTCCGCCTTGAGTGCTAGAGGTTCCCGGTCCAATCCCCAGTAAGGGTTGGGATTTGTTGACGTGGACTCGGACTTTTAATAATTACCCCTGGTCTCTGGGTAGTGAGATCAGACGCCCCTGTGCATTGTGTGCACGTAAAAAATCCCAAGGCAGTTGGAAATCGAAAAGAGTGGCCTAACGGCGCTGCCCGGGCAAAATTTTAAGTTAAAAATCTACCCAAAGTATTTCAGGATCCTCCCCGGTGCTACAGAGCCTGTGCACTGTGCTGAGCTTCTTCGGACTCACATTTGAGTTAAAAGAAGAACTGAGCACTTGTGGGTTACTGAGTATATTCATTCACTCATTCGTTCGTCCATTCATTTATTCATTTATTGTCATCCTGTTCCATTTTATGTCACACAGAACTCGCATTAGAATCCACTATTCCGCTTCATTATGTGCTATCACAATATAATATGCTCTGGACTCCTACTTCTTATTCTGTGTGTGTGTGCGTGCGTGTGTGCGTGGTGCGTGCGTGCGTGCGTGTGTGTGTGTGTGTGCGTGCGTGCGTGCGTGTGCGTGCGTGCGTGTGTGTGTATGTGTGTGTGGCACTATCTTTCTGCTAAATACGTTCTTGCCTGCCGAAACAGTGGTCCTTGTTGAATACCCAGTTCATTCATTCATTCAATGTCCTTTTGTGCAAGTATATGTCACATAGGGCTCCCAGTTTATTTCTCAATTGTGTTATATCCTGTCCAGTCACTTCGATATCATCAATGAAATCTTGTCCTGGCCTCTTTCAAAAATCTCGGTTGCATTTCTCCAGGAAATTCTAAGGATTCTTCTGGGGACTCAAGAAAGTATTTGTTTGTTTATTAATTGTGCAGGATTCACAGTCATATGTTAAAGTTTCATATAGAAGCCTGGATAACACAAGAACGACAACAAAACCCTCCTTTCCTAGACATTTGATACAGTAACTCATTCTGTTGTGGTTATTCAATCAAATACTCATTGTTCAGTGCAGAGTGACAAGCATCATTTCAGAGGTCCCGGTAGTTATCGTCCTATGGATATTTTCTCCAGGTGATGCCGGTGTATAAGGAAACGAACATAAAGATAGACTTGCTGGTGCTGCATCACTTGGTGGTGGAAAAAAAAGCATGACAAGCTTGACGTTGTAAGGTTTCTTCGGGACAGAGTGAACAGTGCCGAAGTATACACAGATCACCATGGTCTGAGAAGAATGGAGCTGAGAGGAATGGCAAGGGGATCTGGTGACTTTGAAGACTCAAGGGAAAGGCGAGTCGGATATACAATCAGACTGTTACTGATGTCATCGGAATCGGAACTTTTCTTTGGCTGCTGAAGACGAGGATGAAGCGCTTATGTAAATATACCGAATGCTGTGATGTCAGTTCTTAACTCGGATGCTCAGATACTCCTGTCCTGGGCATTAGTGGGTTATCCCATTTCTACACAAAACAGTAATTATATTAACTCTTAATGGTCACAAAATTACTACTAGAAAGTGACAATACTGGGGCAAGCAGAGACAACAAAAATACGTGACTCTAGTAACTAATGAATTGACCATACACAGCTCAGTATGGAATAATCAACCTTCGTAACCCCATAGGTTTGCTGAGTATGTGTGTGTATTTTTTTTAAATATGATACTACCAGAGAATATGCTGAGTGATTAATTGGCTTCAAATCAACAGAAACGATGGAGACTGATTTCATTGAATCGCTCTCTGTGAATATAGCATGGGATGATTGTGTTATATGACCAGCTTCTAGATGATTTGTTGTAAACGTAAGAGCAAATTGAACACAGGCGTCTATCAATTAATTTGACAAGACGCGATGATAACGAAAGGATTCGATACATATTTAAAATCAAGAAAATAATAAAAATCAATCAGAAGGCCACCACTACCGGCACAAGATGATAACCATATTATGGACAGACCACAGCAAGTCATTGTTGTACAAAATTTAACATTGGTGAATTAGCAATGTGCACATGTGGATTAACACCTAAGACAACAGACTACGTCCTACAAGACTGTCTCAAATACAACATATCAAGACAAAACTTCTGGTCAAGAGAAACACTCATGCAAGCCAAACTTTACGAGCTGCTGGGTTAATCACAGTGAAGTTCACACTACACACAATAATGCAGATATAGATAATCTATTTCAAGCGAACGAAAGAAAGGGAAGGTGAAATGTTTGAATTTTCTGAAAATATTTATGCAGTAATTTTTTTTTTAATTCTCAACAGCCAGTGAGCGTTTACTGAAGCGTGGTTATTGCTAGTCGAAAACTGTTCCAAGTAAAGGTGGCCGGTGTGAGGCTGATCATATCAAATAACATGTACCGACTGGATTATGCCCGGCTCTCTAGCGTAGTTTGCTAAACCAGATTACGCGGTAACCAGGTGACGAATTCCTTGTGGTCCGGGTTCACTTCCGGGGTAGGCAGAAAAGCCACATTTCTCACAGATTTACGGTATTTACAATGGAATCGAGGCCGAAAGGTTGCGATATCCATAATACCGAGCCTAAGGGTTAACAACGCATAACTTCTGGATACTAAAAACAAAAAATTGGCTTATAACATAAAACCGAAGCCCTACATGTTCAACACGTCTGCAAGCGAAAAAGGTCCTTTACCTACTTCCTTAATTTATGAAACCTCTTTACTACATAATCGCAGGGAGAAATATTTGTTTTTCTGCGATCCGTGGGTGGTACTAGCTAACTAATGTCATTCGTTGTGACTGAACAATGTATTAAATGTCGTCAATACATCACACTTTGTCCATATCCTGCTGTCTCGTGTACTGGTAGTTGGGGACAGGGGAAGGAGCTGTGATTTATGAAACAGATATTTTTCCATACCATAATATTAGAATGTCAAAGAGCCTTCCCTTGCATGGTCTTTATTTTCTTCTCTCCCCATTTAGCTTTCCTCTTATTCTGATTGACCCTAGTTTCTTTTTTTTTAACTTTCGAAAAGCTAACTACTAATACTACCACCACCACTACTACCACAACTGCTGCTGCTGCTGCTGCTACTACTAATAATACTACTACTAATGCTGCTGCTGCTACTACTACTACTACCAAAATTACTACCACTACTTCGTTTTTTAAATTTCTTTTTCTGATTCCTTTTCTTCTTCATTCTTCTTCTTCTTCTTCTTCTTCTTCTTCTTCTTCTTCTTCTTCTTCTTCTTCTTCTTCTTCTTCTTCTTCTTCTTTTTTTTTTCTTCTTCTTCTACTTCTTCTTCTTGTTCTTCTTCTTCTTCTTACTCCTCCTCCTCCTCCTCCTCCACCACGTATATTAACGACTGTCCATTACATTTTAGTTTAACATGCGATTTTTTTGCTGACGACTGTACAGTATTTACTAGTAATGAGAATCGTAATGAGTGGACAGCTCTTTAGAAAAGAAGTAGACAATCTTTGTCAATGGAGCAATAGCAATCGCATTCAAATTAACATAAATAAAACTCTTGAGCTCTACATTATTAAATTACCTATTGTTAATGTAACGGAACGCAAAACATTAGGCCTTATAATTGACAACCATTTACTTTGAATTCTCATGTTCGTGTCATAACTAAGAAAATATTCCAAAATGTTTATCAGCTTGCCAAAATTCAGCACTTTCTAAAAGAAAATGCAAGAAAAGTATTTTACGCGTCCTATATCCAAACACATGTCGACTACTGTTCCACGTTTTAGGATGGTAGCGCCAAATTCAATGTTAAAAGACAAAGTTCCCTTCAAAATCGTGCTTTACGTCTGGTTTCAGATAGAAAACATGTCGATAAAAATAATCTCTATAACCATCTAAAACTAGTGCCACTTAGTAAATGTTTAATTTTTAACAGGGCCAAAATTTTTCATAAAATTCGATCTCAATATACTTCAAACTACCTTTTTCGGTTGATGAAATCTAATCCTACAAACAGCAAGCGACTAAATTTATTACATTTGCCTAAACCAATAAAAGATTTATATAAAACAATTTTAGCGTTCTTCGCTGCTCATTTATGGAGCCACTTCCAGTGGACCTGGAAATTGCAAAGAGT